AACAAATACCAGCATGTAATCTGAGTATTTTAAAAAAGTGTAGGGAAAACACTGCTGAAAAACAAATGCAGAAGAGAAGATAGTCAGTTATGAACAGTGACCCAACACAAATAAATCTGAAATTTCACTTTCTGGAAACTAAACAACACATTGACTTATTTTGACTTTATCTTTCAGAGCGTGGTAAAATCCTGAAAACAGAGCTATCACTGGGARAAGAAAAGAAGGGCAAGATTACAGTGATTATTAATTTTTAAATTCCACAATGTTAAAAGTCACACTCTCGAGATTGTCCAGCCATCTCCCCAATACATCATGTTAAATTAAAAAAAAAATTAAGACAAAATATCTCAGAGGACTAAAGTTAAGATTATGGTGTTCTCATCACAGGTCAGTGGCTTAAAAGAAGATATTTAATACAGGTTGCAGTAAAAATTCAGTAATTCTATATATGCAAATTCCTAAAATTAGGATATTGGAAATTCCTAAATTTCAAAAAAAAAAAATAATCCATCTACAGATAATACAACTATTTTCTTTTAAGACTAAGACTGACATTTCAGAACTTTTTGTGTTGAATGTCACAAACCAAGAAATAGACTTGCTAATACAAGTGTTAGCAGAGTCATGATAATGCCTTAGAACACTGTAAATGAACCAGAATTACACATTCAAGTGTTTTAATTATTAATTTATTCTRAGCATCATCCTCATTTTTTAAGTAGTAAAAAAAGTAGTAACAAAAAGGGAACGTGTAAACACTTGTTCAGTCAACATAATGTCAAAGGACAACAACAAATTAGATCCTGGAAAGCAACGAGYAATTACAGGAAAATGCTGAGTGCCCTCCTTATTACATAAGAATACAGGAAGAGAAAGTGTCCAATAATTGTTGTCCAAGCTCTTTATTTTGTAATCTTCTCATAGGAATTTTCCATTTTCTCTTTGACAAATGCATTATCTTTGCAACCAAATGTACTTCAAATACCAATTAACTTTTCTTGCTCAAAATTTAAAAAACTCACAAGAACACCTGTACTTTCAGATATATGTACTTATTTATATAAACTTGTACTGGTAACTATACTGAAAACCTAATCCCTACTTTCCCCCCTCATTTTCACTGCAGTATTCTCTTTTCTGATAGAATGACATTTAAGTTGGATCCAATCTGGCAAGCTTTTATCTTCACAAACACTCCTAAAAAGCAATGAGACACCTTAGACAAATAAGGTGTGACTGGAGCTAGGCTTGCTGAGAAGGCTTTGTATGTATTTAGACACAAACACACTTCAGGGTTCAAAATTCATTTTCTGCCTGAAATGCAATTATTTCATTAAGGGCAGCTAAATCAGACGGTGATATAGATACAGGCAAACTCTTAAAATATACTTACTTCAAATTTGAACCACTCAGAATTCCACTGAGGATTAAGTGATTTGGGATACACGTCTGTCTTAAATGTGGTATTTCCAAATTTCACCTAAAATACAAACATTCAACAATCAATAATAAACACTAATAAAGAAATATCTGAACTCATTAAATCGACACATGCAAATAATTTCAAATACATATTTCAAYAAATTTTTTTCACTGAGAGTAAATTTTTAAATCAATTTATATATATATCAGTATCCATGTATCAGTGACATATCCAATCAATCTCTCTCATACTCTCATACTACTGAAATTGTTTCTTTTCCTCCTCAATCATTTGAGAGGCAAAAACATCACTTATATTGGCTATTCAAGGTCACTTGGTATAGTTTCCTTGCCTTCTATAAGGAAAAATGTTCTTTATGTGATAGTTCATGACCTATTACTCTTCTCTCTAGGATTTCTTCATCAGCTACATAGACTGATTGATAAAATAAACATAAAACCAAACTGGATTTGAGATATATAGAGGACTACTAAAATGTTTTCCATAATTCTGTTGCTTATTGCATCTTCAACCACATGAAAATCTATTTCAGCAATACCCATATGGTCTCCACAGGCATCTATTTCAGGCTAAGCCCATTTGGGTTTGTGGGGGTTTCTTGATTSTTTTTTTAAAAGTGAAGCCGAATTTCTGTGATGCTCCATACATAAAACCATACAGAACCATGCAAGAGCTTTTATTTCACTGAAGCTTTCATCCCAAACCATGTGCAAACACCTGCAGTTCTCTCAATGCTGCCYCTCAAAAAAATGAGCGCTTCACCTCATACCAAGTGTCCGATAGTACTTACAAATACTCAAAGTTACATTTTTAAATTTATTCAAGATTCTTAAGGAAAATAATGAGTGTGCCGATAGAAAAGAAATGCTGGAGATAGAGATGTGTGGATTTTGACAACTGTGATCTTCTAAAAGTCTAAATGGATTTCAGAGACTAAATTCATGCTTGGATTTGAAAACTCTTTTCTTTTAACACTTTTGCTCAAGACATTATTAAATAACCACTTCATATATTTCAATAATATGGTGATTATTTTGCATAGGTGCATATCCCAACTCTGAAGAGGTTTTACACTTGCTCAAGTACAATAAAGTGATGTTGGCACTGGTTGTAAGGGAGCTGCCAGTTAAATACCAGTTCTGACTCCAGAAGCTGCCAAGATTAAGAGTCCTAAGCTCCACCCAACCTATTTTAGAGTGTTATCTTGGGAGTAAATCAGTTCCCTTGCAGCCCCAGGCAGTTATAACTGATTTTCCCCAGTACTCCAGCTAGTTTATTAAAGCTTGTAGAGATAATCAAGCACTACACTGCTGTCCACTGTGCAAAGTTAAAAGTACATTTATGGAAGAAATTGTAACAAAATACCCTGAGCCGGGACAGGTATCATTGTGCTCATGCTGGTGAAGTCTAAGTTTTGCATAACCTGAGCCAAGTAAGAGCTCTCAAGTCTCTTCTCATTTTCTACTTTGAAGTTTATATTGCAATATTTAACAAGGAAATTTAAGGCTACTTAACAACTAGAACTTTAACATTTGCTTTTCATATTCATTTAAGGAAAAACATGTTGTAAAGTTCAACATATTCAGTATTTTCAACTGAATATTGAAAATAAAATAATAGTTTAAAGYTCAATTTATTTTGAAATAAATTTCATCTACTGTATTGCCTACTCCACACATGGAAAGGGCAGTTACTCCACATTGTTCCTAAATAACAATCCTAAAAGCAAGCTCCCATCTGTATTACTTTAGCCTTATTTGTGCCAAGATACTCATGGAACTGCATGTCAACCCAGCCAAGCAAACTGATCTTGATGAAAATTTTTATTTTCTTTTTTTGCTACATTAGTATTTTATTAGATGAATTTCAAAAATCTACTTTGCTGCATGGATAGTAGGGTTGGGAACAAACAACCCATAGAAGAGGAGAGCTGTTTCTCCTATCACAGAATAAAACCAGGTCAAATGAAACTCAGTGAACTGTATTTCCTAGTYCTGTTTTCCCCGTCTCCTAGTAGCAAGCATCAGAGTTATTGTAATTTTAAACTGGATTAATAGGCAGCCTACAAGAGAAGCTTTTATAAATTAAAACCTGGCTGGTGAAACAGCTGACAAAACAGTGGAATGCTAAGTTCCATCTAGTAAAATAGAATGATGTACTATTTCAGCTCCACAGAAAAGCTGAACATCTTCACTTTATTACCAGCTTACATTCCCATTAAGTGATGCCCTTAAGAGTTTAAGGGCAACCAAATTTTTAAGCACCAAATGAAATCAGGACTTAAAGACCCCAAATTTGTTTTGGTATTAATATTATCATATTTTTCAGCGTATAGTTTTAGAGAGACTTTCTGTCTTCCTACCGTAATTCCAGTATTGTGCCAACCTCAACCACTATTTGTGGTACGTGTACATTTGTAGGACATGCATTTTCATAGCACACCATTTAAAATAGGTCTGATTGTTCTGAGTATGATTTCTGGATCTCTGAAATGTTTCTTAAATGTCCTTAGTCATCCAWATTCGAAATAACAAATCAAAAAACCTAAGAATCATGTAACAGAAATAACAGAAATCAGRAAGTGTTGGGTTGGAAGGGACCTTGAAGTCCATCTCATTCAAACACCTCTGCCATGGCCAGGGATGTCACCCACTGGATCACATTGCTCAGAGCCCCATCCAACCTTAAATAATCCACTTATTTTGCATTTCAACTTATTTCACAGTCCTTTCCTAAGAAATACCCTACATATTGRCTGTTAACTACATGATCTACAGAAGGTTGAAGGTAGAAACTCTGGGTGCAATAAAGGGATTTAAACATGCAAATAATATTAAATATTTGTTGCCTAAAAGCCCCCTCAGAAACACTTYAGTATTTCCAACGTTTTAAATGAAAACATTAATATTGGCCTTAAAAATAAAGCTTGTACAACCACTCATATATTCAGCAATACAACTGATTTAAAGATGCTTTTAATACTTCTTCATGCTCCTTCCAACAAGTCTGTCTAACCACASAACCAATYAGGYTGGAAAAGACCCTAAGAYCACCGAGTCCAAGCTATGACCGACCACCACCATAACACGAATACCATGGCACCGAGAGCCACGTCCAGCCTTTCCTCAAACACCTCCAGGGACGGCGGCTCCACCGCCTGCCTGGGCAGACCGTTCCAATGTCTAGTCACCCTTTCCACACAGAAATCCCTGCTGGTGTCYCATCCAAGCCCGCGCCAAGCAGTTCAGGGCTCTGTCCCCTCGCCCTGCCGCTGGCTCCCGGCAGCACCGAGGCGCGGCACGGGCCCGGCAGGTGCCTCCGCAGCGCGGGCCCGGCGCGCCCGTCCCCCTTCCCCCGCCACCAACCTCCACGAAGGCGTCGGTCAGGTCGCTGGCGCGGTCCATCACCGGCAAATGGCGCCCCGCCACGATCTTGACCTTCAGCTTCCCCGGCATCTTCTTCCTCCCCGCCGCCCTCCTCCTCCTCCCGCGGGCTGCAGGGACAGCGCGACCGCGCCTGTGCCATGGACCGGCGGGCGCGGCGGCTGCGCATGCGCGGGGATCCTGAGGGCGCGCCGCCCTCGGCCGGCGGGGAGCGGGAAAGGAGTCACAGGACCAGGGAATTATTAGGGTTGGAACGGACCTCGGAGGATCACCCTGTCCTACCCCCCTGCCAAGGCGGGGTCACCCAGAGCAGGTGACGCTGGAATGTGTCCAGGTGGGTTTGGAATGTCTCCTGAGCGAGAGACTCCACCACGCCCTCCCTGGGCAGCTGTTCCAGGGCTCTGCCACTTGTAGTGTGAAGAAGTGCTGCCCCATATTGAGATTAAACTTGTGTTTGACTTTATGGCCATTGCTCCTTGTTCTGTCGCTGGGCACCACTGAAAAGAGTGGCATCGTCCGCTTAGCTCTCCCTTTGAGATATTTATATGCATTAATGAGATTCCCTCTGTTTACTTCAGCGTAACCAGGCCCAGCTCTCACAGTCCCATCTCATTRGAGATGCTCCAGACCTCTCATCATTTTTGTGACCCTCCGCTGGACCCTCTCCAGTAGCTCCTTGTCTTTCCTGTACTGGGTAGTGCAGAACTGGGCACAGCGCTCCCGATGTGGCCTCACTGGGGCAGAGTAGAGGGGAAGATCACCTCCCCTGACCTGCTRGCCACACTTCCCAATGCATTCCAGGATACCATTGCCCCTCCTGGCTGCAAGGACACACTACTGGTTCATGGTCAGCTTGTCACCCCGCAGGATTCCCAGGTCCTTCGCCACAGAGCTGCTCTCCAGCAGGTCACACCCAACCTGTGCTGGTATTCGGGGCTGTCCCTGCCCAGGTCCGGACCCTAAACCTGCCCTTACTGAAGGCCCCGCCATCGCCCCCGCCATCGCCCCCGCCAGGCTCCAAGATGGCGCTCGCGGCCTCGGGACGCCGCTGCTAAAAGTCGAGCGCCGAATCCTCGATGGGTTCGGCGGTGAGGCGCTGCCCAGGGTAACTCGAGCGCCGAGCCATCGATGCCCGGTCCCGGCTGCCGTGGGATGGAGCGGGCTCGCATCCCGGATCCCGGCTCGTGTCCGCTGAAATAGCCTCCGGACGCTCTGCCTTCGCAAGGAAGGAGCTGGTGCGATGAATACCAGTTAAATRGGAGCTTGGAGCATACCTGCATCCCCAGACACTCGGTAGGAGTGTCCCGTAAAGGGTTTAAATGCACCACCACCACCACTACCCACCCTCCTCCCCCGTGGGTTTGGCTTTGTCTTCTTAATCGAAAGACAAACATTTACAGTATTTGAAGGATTATGAATAGATTAAACGGAATTTAGTTATCAGAAATAGGATTTGATACGGTTCTTGCAGCCAGTTGTGACTTCGATGCCTGAAAAAGCTCTTTGTTTAGGCAGTAACACTGTGGGAATTTGGGACAAAGCAAAGGAACAGGGCCAGGAGCTGGATCAGGTGTGGTCCTCAGGTGGGATTACGGAACTGGGCTGTGTGAGATCCTGTGTGATTCGGGTGGTGCTGCTGGGGTGGTCGGGAGCAGGAACATAAAAGAACCCTTGTGTTAAGCACTTGCCAGGTGTTGAGCCAAATAGTAGATCTGCTGGATTATTTTCCCTTCTTTCTAATCTTACAAWAAGTCTAAATAATGTTACGGGCTGGAATGTGATACTCCAAACAAACCATATGACTGAAATGCAGCAGYGTGTGGTGTAGGGAATTAAGGTATAAAAAGTAAACTTTGTCATGTGTTTGTTATTTCTGACAAAACTTCTGCTTATTTGCTGCTTTTGCTAACTAGCTTTACAAATGCTGCTTGGTGAGCATCTCCATCTCTCTGGGATTAAGAAATACAGGGATTAATGCAATGCATATTTCTTTCTTGAAAGATTTCTGAGGCTCCATCTTTTTCAATGGAAGATTCTAGTAGTCAAAGGAATAAAAAACAGAAAACACCTGTTTTGGAGTGCTAGGTTCCAATCTGATTTTTATGTACTTGGAAAGATGAATTAGATATTATTTAATGCATTAAGAAACCTGCTTAGTGTATCAGACCTGCCTTGGGGCTGAGGATTTTCTATACAGGCAGAATGAGGCCTGTCTTTCCATTAATTAACATATTACCTCACACATTTCCTGCCAGTTCTCTATGGCCAGCAGGGACTTGTGCAAGGTAGCAGGGACTCAGCTGAAAGCACAGTAAGACCCCTAAAATTTATGAACTCCTTGAGGCTTCCAAAATAGCATWAGATTTCCATAAAGTTTAAGCAAATATAATGGGTATACTGGAAACCAAAGCTACAGTATGTACTTGCTCAGTAACATGCATGCCAGAACTCCACAGAAAATACTAAAAGGTGTGTTTTCATAAGAAAAAAATAGATGTGGTATCTGTCTTTGCACTTCAGTATCCATTTTGTTTCTTGCTGAATTTTTTTCCTTCTGCTTAGAAGTGATGTTTTAGTAAGTTATGGCAATAGAAGTCCTGCTTCAGCAAGATAACAACTATGATATGCTTAAAAAACAGCATTACCTTACTTGAGCAGGTATTGTTGTGTATCAAATGGCACTGTAACTCAACTAAACAACAAGAATATTGCGAATTACATACAATATTAAAGGTAACTTGTGCGGAGCAGTGAGTGTCAGAAAAATTGAGGAGAGTCTTGCATGGGAGATTTTGCCACTTAAGTGTAAAGGTCCATGTGTCCCGTCTTTTTCAGTTTTAAGTATGATAGAGAGTTTGTGAYAGACATGCATGTTGAACCCTTAGTTTGGAAATTGATACTTCACAGATAAAGTTTTCCTTGTAACTTCAGTCCACTGACCCATCACYACAGGGTAGGTTTCAATTATATTGGTTTACAGCCTTCAAGATACAGGTTAGAAGGTGATGGCTTAGCTTTTCCTCAGGTTGCAGCATGACCTGGGATGCAGTGGGCTGTCTCTTATCCACAGGGAAAAGTGGTTTTGGATTATATTGCCTTGAGTTGATTTAAACAGAAATGAATGAAAAACTTTTTGGAGGGGTTTTAGGTTGTTGAAACACAGAAAGAACGCTTTTCATCTCTAGTTCACAGAAGATACTGGCTTAATTTTTGCTGCAGTTGTTGTCATAAGTAGTCTTTGAAGCAGGAATCTTTCAGCTGTCATAAATACAGGAAACTGCAGTGTCAGATTTTGGTTTCTGGAAAAATCCCTGCATTTCTTTGTAAAACTAGCAACATGTTTCAAATCAATCCATCTTAAATCTGCTGGACACCAATCCAAAAATAGTTTTAATAATGCTCATGGGGTTCTGTGTCCAGAATGATGGATCCTTAGTAAAAGACCCCTGCATCCCAGAAAAAGAATCCAAACTCCCTTCTGCTCTATCTGTGCTGTGTGCTCACTGCAAGGATTTGGGTAAGGGCAGAATTGCAGCCACTACTGTTTATAATTGCCTGTACCTGTCTGACTGACACTGCAACCCTAATCCCCCTCATTAGATTAAAAGATGGCATGAAATCCTCTCTCAATAAAATCAGCAAGGGCAAACTCTCTCCCTGAAATGAAGAGATGGGGTTTGTTATGAACAAGACTTGATTACTGAGGCTTCTGATTTACACTGGAAAAGCTCACTGKAGTTAGGAAGTTTAAACACAAGATTAGAACAATATTAGTGTGTGTTACTATCTACTTGAAAAAAAATCCTGCTACCATAAGAATCTCTAATCTAACATGACAAGGGAAGGATGGAAGCCTGAGCAGGACCAATCCAAACTTGAAATAGGTATTTCATTTTGACTCTCAATTACCARTACCCTAACACTGCCAATTCTACCCCTAAATCATTACCCTAATTCCACATCTCTTTTAAATATCCCGTAATATGTATGAAAAAAGCTTATCCAATGAACTCTAATCCCAATAATATTCAAAGTAATATTCCAATTAATATCTAGTGAATTGAATAAAACCTGGTTGTCCTTTAAGGAAAAAAGAAGCCAAGAATTATTCTCAAGGCTTACATCAAAAGCATAAAAACAAAGCCTACATATAGTCCTAAAATTACATTTCTGTTTTTTTATATACACTTCTTTCCTGTATATAAAATGAAAGTATTACCTTTGRAAATGAGATCTCAACACTTTGTATTCTTCTGAATGTGACACCTTTCCAACAGTCTACTCATGTCAATCTTCTGTGGACTTCAACAGTTTGGGRTTTGGTCCATATCAAGCAGTTTGTAGAAGCAGACAGCTATAAAAAGCATAATAATTATGATTCCATTTCATTATACTAGTGCTGTCTGAAGGTCTCAATTTCTATCTAGACTTAAAAGAACTTGGATGAAATAAATATTCACTAACACAGGAATGAATGCAATTTCCTACAGGGAGACTCAAACAACTGGATGTGATGTCGCGTTCTCAGACAGTAATTGGATATAATTCTCTTTCTCACAGTTCTGTGAGGGAAATAACATTGCATGTGACTTGGTGCTTTTTATGAGTGGCAATGGCATAATTGGGATATCAGTTCACAGAGAATGCAGCAGAACCCCTGTGCACGTGCTTTAGCAAGGATATTGAGTTACAAGCAGTAGAATTAGAATAGCTACTCAGAGTTCTCCCCCTGTACAAAGCCCTGGTTAATTAGTCAATACCTAGTAAATAATTTAATCAGATGTAGTTGTCAACAGCAGTATTTATAGCAGTAAAAAATAAATAGTCCTTCAGTGACACTTTCATAATTTCTGCCTTTTTTCCTTTTAAGGATGGAGACAAATAGAGATATTTAACTGTGTCAGTTATAAAAACAGTTAWATTTGCTGATTATGTTTGTTATGTTATGTTTGTTATGTTATRCTGSTGTTTTCCTTTTTCCTGTCTAAATGTAATAAATAGATTCAGGTCCCACACCAAAACATGGACAAAAGTAGAATTCAAGCTTGTGTCTACACAGTGATACCATTGGTTGGCAAAACATGATGAGAGGGGTTCATGTTGTGCCAAGCCAAAGGAGACTGAAGAGGCTCAGGATCTGAATCCTGAGTCTTCTTATCYGGGGCTGATGGGTTAATGGAACACRATGAATAATTCTAACTAAGCAAWTAATTATTTTAGACCGATCTTTATACCTGAATGCACTCCCACCTGAGATCAGAAGGAAATATCCATTCATGAGACAGCAGAAAAGTTCAAGAACTGCAGGACAACCCCACAAAAACTCTTAATTGA